TTGCAGTGTTGCAGAAGGCGGAGAACTTTCTCCTATTTTAACCTAATATTTAAGGCAACAAAAGTGGAAGGTGCTGCTGGCAAAGAGCTTTCAATACTTTCAGACTCTGCGGCTTCAGTCCTCTTCCTCTCCGGCACTGAAGTACACACTCCACCCCCTTCCCAAACAAACCGGCCCTTTCACTTGTTCATTTACACAAACACTTTACAATCATTCCTTTCGGGTTCATCACTCAACATAACTTACACGCTGTATCCCAAATGACCTATAAAATGTATGGTTGTTAAATTAATTTGTTGTAGTATTGAAGTCTTAACTACCCTACGTAGACTGAAGAGTTTAATAGGGCTGGGCGATTTGGCCTAAAACCAAAATCTTGATTAATTAAACATTTTAACTTGATTACGAATAATGAACAATTATTTTATTTATGTATTTAAATTTTTTGCCTTAATAGTTTAGTGACAAGTTTTGTACAGTAAATATGTTCACATACTACCTTCCAGTGAGAGATTTTCGAATGAAGGGTGCATTACTTGATCTTAAAATAACTTAAGGAAACACACACGAGATCATTATTTACTGAAAATTAATGCTGAACAACAAAACTAATCAGCGCCACCCACGCTTATCACTGATATCAAACTGACCAATCACAAAGCCTGCAGGTACGCAACCGCGCAAAGGTTGTGCCGCACCATAAGTGTGCGCTCAACGCAAAAGACAGTCTTAACAGAGTGGGGTGACATGACTCCACATGCAGTAGGGAAAGTAACTAAATAAATCGACCTGGAATTTTTTTAATTGATTTTAGGTTATGAATGTCCATTATGATTACTTTTCGATTAATTGCCCAGCCCTAGCGTTTAATATTCAGCACTTCAGTTGAAAAAGTACATTATACTAGTAAGTAAAGTGATTTTTTATTAATATTATTTTTGGTGTTCACCGTGTGCTTGAAGCAGCCGACTTAAACTATTTATACAAAAGATTGGCATAGGACAGTGCATAAAAAATGAAATATGGTACACAAATAATGTCCAAATTTACATTAATTGTCATAGACGCCTAAGCACAATTTCCTAGAAATTGTATATTGTATGATGGGTACTGATTTTTTAGCTTCACGCCTGCACTTTATAGCTATATGTGTAATTTTGGTAACAGCCCCATAGCCTTAAGGCTGATTTATACTTTTGTGTCAAGCGCACAGCCCTCACTCTGGCTGTTGCCAACGCTGACCATTGCCGCGTGAACCAGTTGAAGCAAATGTTTCCAAGTGTCGAGTCCTGTGAAGGAGCTCCAGATGGAGACTTTTGTTTTGTGTTTACCTTTTGACTAAGGTTGTTGCACGTCTGCTGGTTCCCATCTCAAAATGAGTGAGTTCAAGCTACATCTACATTAAAGGGCCGTTCACAACGGGACCTTTTTTGCTTGCATTTTCCTTCGCTGTTTAACACCTCGTGACTAAATAAAGGACACCAATGTGATTGTGCCCACCAACGCGCAAAACGGCAAGCATAAAATCACAATTTTTAAAGAAACGTCTTTTGCTTGTTTTTTTCCTTCTCCACCAATCAGATTGGCACTTTTGTTCACATGCACAGAGCTGCTGAAGTTGCAGTAAACTGCACTTGGAGGCATTCAAGCGCAAAACTGTAAAAAAAAAAAAAAAATGCTGAACATAAACACAAATGAAAAGCATCCAGGGGCCTGTTTTAGAAAGGAGGTTAACTGAAAACTCAGAGTATTTTAACCCTGAAATGAGAAAAACTCTGGGTTTTCCGTTTCAAAATGGCAGGTTTGTTAAACTCGAGAAAGCAGGGTAAGTCAAGCCTGTTTCTGAAAGAAAGGTAACTTTAACTCAGAGTCAGTTACTATGGTAACTTACTCTGTGAATCTAACCTGGTCAGAAGCAGGTTTTTTTCTTTAAACTCAGAGTTTCTGTCTGTCTCCTCCCCTTTTTTAAAGATGAAGCGTATTTCTCGCCTTAGCCTTACGTTTCCACCCACCTATTTTTATGCTTATTTTGGATACGTGCATAAAAACAATTGATAGAAACGTCATGATTCACATAACTGTTGAAAATATGCATAAAAAACATGCACATAATTGAGTAGGATAAACTTTTATTCGATAGAAAATGTGCGCATAAACTACGATGGAAACACTTTTACTGAACAAATTACAGCATGTACATTAAAAAAAGATCATGATCATATGATAATGAAAATGTGTGTAAATGAACAAACCAGCAGGATGAGCACACTGTAACACGTCTTAAATATTGTTTTAGTCATTGTAAAATGCCTTAACTATTTCAGTATTAGTGTATATTATTAATTACCTCCGAACGTCTGGTGCGTGTCAAGAGACTCCGCGTCTCATGGCTTCAGACGCCCCCACGTGTTCATTGTGTTTCAGCATTGTCTTCTGACATCGAGGCGCAAGTACATTAATTAGGCTAAATAAAGAATTAATTGACGCAGCTTCTTCTACCACAGTAAATTCTGTTTTTACTGTTGATATTTGGTGCCAGTTTAATCAGGAAGTGACGATTTTTTTCTCTTTGACTCGTTGGATGGAATTTTATTCCCATCTTTTATGCAATATTCCAGTTTTGCACATACATTTATGTAATATATTTGGATGGAAACACAGCTATTGCCTACATTTTAGTCACACACAGAAGAACTGTACGAGAATGGCTTATCCTTTTTTTTATAAATAATTAAATTAAATTCACCTTCGATATGCACTGTAACTAGATTAATGGGATTATTATTCTTTCTAAAAATTATTTTTAGTACTGCTTACCTTCTAAATGTTATATTAACCTATATCACTTGATCAATAAAAAAGGCAGACACACAAGTGCAGTGTTACATCATTTAAAACTAATAAATGTATAAAAAAAAAAGTTTAGAAAAAAATATATAAATGTCACAAATTACATTACTTATTTTATTATACTTAAATATTTAAATACTTAAAAATTGAAATTAGGCATTAACTTGAGCAGCTGTTTTCCCACGCTAACTGTCTCTTCTTCACTGATGTTTGCTTCTTTTCAAATATATACGCTCATATTTGCTATAACTTTGCATGAGAACATCAAGTTCAGCTGGAGAAAGAAATGGTGATCTCTTTTATAAGATGTTGCCATAGTCACTCGTAATGTCTGCGCTCCACTGATAATGCCTTTTTAAAGTCACGGTGTGTGCGCTTAACTCTGAGTTGGTCTACTCGAAGTTGATTGACCCAACTCAGATCAGCTGTTCTGAAACCGAAAACTCAGAGTTTTTAATCTCTCTGTAAATCAACTCAGAGTTCAAGTTTAAACTCTGAGTTGTTTGAACCTCCTTACTGAAACAGGCCCCAGGTGTGTACGAGCCTTTAGGTAGTGTTCAGAAAAAACAAAACACTGGCAAAGAAACTCGACACAGAGGAACACAAAAGCCTTCTGCCAGCTAGCGTTTCGGAAGTGCTATTGCAGAGCAACACAAACAGCATGCAGAAGTAAATACACAGCTACACGCAAGGCATGCGCCATGGGTCACGCCAATCACTTGATGCAGAACTATAAACTAAACTTTACACCTTGCCGTAAAATCAGAGACCGTATGGACAATCATTTTAAGTTTCAGAGGAGTGCATGAGCATCTCCCCGATTTGTGGATTTTAGCAAATATCATATTTATGGTCTAATAATTAAGTTCTACAGAAAGTGGCATTACGACACAAAAGTGTGACTATGAGGAAAACTTTAATGGTCTAAGGTGTGATTTAACTATGAGCAAGTGATCACCTCAAAAGTGTACTAAGTAAGTTTTAGTTTATGTTTATTACTAAATTACAGGCTACGACTATTTTGGGCTTTATACTGACATCTGGTTTGGTTGCATTTTCATTCATTCGAGGATTTTCTTACAGTATAGTTACTTTATTAATCAGGGGTCGCAACAACGGAATGAACCACCAACTTATCCAGCATATGAATTATATAGCGGATGCCCTTCCAGCTGCACCTCAGCATGGGGAAACACCCACATACTCTTGCATTCACACCCACACATACATTATGACCAATTAAGCTTTTTCAATTGACCTATGTCTTTAAATGTGGGGGAAACCGGAGCACCCGGAGGTAACCCACACGAACATGTTAAGAACATGCAAACTTTACACAGAAATGCCAACTGACCCAGCCACCCAGCCAACTGACCAACAGCGCTACCCACTGCATTACCGAGTCACCACTCACTACTAATTTTGGGCTTTATATTGACACCTACTGGCCTGGATGAATTCTGTTTTAATTTTTTGGCTGCATCCACTAAAATTTTTTGATATGTATATGGCAGATTATTTTTTTAATGTTCTTCTTTTCTTTTAGCATTTTTTGCAAGAATAATGATTTTAACAGTTTAATAAGGCCATGATGCTATCAACTAAAAGTCTATTCATGTGTACATGTTACTTTCAGTCATATTTCTTTTGAAGTATTCGCAAATGAAAAGTATCAAATCTATATCTATCTATCTATCTATCTATCTATCTATCTATCTATCCTTTTATTATAATATACTAAACATACTACACTTGTAAACATTTGTCACTTCTGCCTTATGTTGCATGAAGAACACAACAAAAACAGTTAATGTTGTAAAATATTATTTTAAAATATAATAATAAATGTTTTCTGTGTGAATGTTTCCAAACATATTTCACGGGTAGGCTTTATATAATGCAAATACGTTTAATAAACTTACTAATATGCTTTGTTCCAACAAAAACCAGAGCATCTTAGCGTAAAAATAACACGAATAAGATAGCTCATGTAAGTTCATTTAAACTTTAACAGCTAACGGTGCACTTAGAAATGCCATCACAAACGTGCCATCCCGCAAACTTCCAGACAAACTCGCATGTTAACCTCAAGGTAAATCCAGTACAAGACGACTCGTTATCATCCTAAAAAAAAGATAAAGTATACCCACCATCACAGGCGCTGAACAGAAACCCGAGTAGAGGTAGAAGCCGACGGAAAAGCGTGGTATTCCCAAAGAAGTGTCTTACTTCCTCTGCCATGGTCTCAGACTGCAGAACTCAGCTCGTCCTGGCTGAATCAACTCGGAGTTTGAGGATCCACAGCAGCAGCAGCCGACCCGGACCGCGTGTGGGCGGAACCTCCAGTCCGGCAGCGGTTTCGGACTAAAAATAAATCGTCAACAATGCAGAGAGTCGCGATGCGGTCCGCTTTACACCCGTACGTCAGACAAGACGGAGCTTTTAGTGAATGAAGAAAACGAGGCTGCACTCCGAGTCAAAAAGCAAAATGACTCCTATCTTCAAGGGGGCAATAGGCTACTAACTGTTTCTTTAACTTCATTTGGTCGTGCTGGAAATGACCAGGCTGTAACATAACAAAACTAAGTTAGACATATTGGCATGGCTTTGACTCGATGGGGTGCTGGGAGATGTCGCCAGGTTCACTCAGATTAAAGAGTGAGCCATGCTGGGCACGCTTTCCATGATCCTTGTGTTTTATTTATGTCTTCCAAGAGTGATAAATCCCCAGCTGAGTGGTGCCATTTACACCGATCAATCATGTTTATTGGCCCTTTTCTGAATGTATGAAACTCTTTTCTGGAACATGATGCACAGTATATACACAAAACTTTAGGTGGAGAGGACAAAGTTTTCTTAATTCTACTAGTTCCTAATGGCATTTGAAAACGTTTTAACATTATATATATATATATATATATATATATATATATATATATATATATATATATATATATATATATATATATATATATATATATATATATTCTGCATAATTGATGTTCTTTGTAGTTTTGCAAAGAAAGTCATTGCTTTTTTTAAAAACTCTTTCACTTGTTTGGTATTTGTTTGATACAATCAGTGTTAGCACCTGGACATCCTTTTAGACATCTTTTAGACAGCTTCCTATTGCGTCCATAGTTACTCCTGTTGGATGTGGTTCTTCTTCGTAGTGGTTTGCTGTAATTACTCTGGATTCCCTGGTTCTTCATACATTACGAACACTTGCTGTCTTAGTACAGATGTGCCAGCCAGACGTACACTAACAGTTTATCCTCTTTTGAACTCTGATGTGTTAGCATAATGTTGTGTACATTGCAATATTTTAAGCAAAACAACTCTGCTAATTAAACCTTTACACTCTGCCTCACTGGTGGAATGTGCGATCAATGAAGACTGTCACCAGCTGCTCAAATTTAGCCATGAAACCTCCTACACTAAAATGGTCAGTGTTTCAGTTTCATTGTCCAACCCCTGCACTTTCTTTTTTAAATGATTTTTTTTATACATTAGTAATTTACAAATACAGCAAAACAGGCAACAAACAAAAATTCCAATGGTTATTGAAGTTAAAAAAAGACATTCACAAGACGTCAAAAACAGATTCTTAATAGCTTACAATAGACAGAGCTTTTAAATTTTTACAGCTTTGAGAGACTTCATTAACAGAATTATTTCGTTGACAAATACCTTGTATAAGGAGGTTTTGAAAGTCGACATTTGTGGTTGAAGAATTTACCATTTAAAATAATAAAATTAACAAAATTGTTAATTTTGTTTATCTGCATTTTTAAGATAACAAATAATTTATTTTGCATTCAATGTTATCAATGTATTATTGTTAGCAGAATAATCAGAAAAACAGTCTTTCCAAAATAATTGCACACTGACACAATCAACAAACAAGTGAATATGTAAAATCTTTAAATTAATTTATCTTTCTTTATTTGAAATGCAAAAATTGTATGGCAGTAGCCATGCTTTTCTCCAATTAACCTCCCATAATAATGAATTCCAATAAAATTTGCCTCTTGGAATAACTCTATTTTCATTAAATACTTGCCTAATGTCATTGTTAGTACTTTTATTGTCAAATTTATTTTTACCATATATCAGGAAATTACTTTCTGTATTTTCTATCTTATTATAAGTTAAATGACTGCACATTAAACCCCAGTACTTTCGCAATCCATATCAAATGTATGCTATTCCACCATAGGTTGTCTTTTTCACCACAGGGGGCAGTGTGGTGGAAATGAAATTCTGTACAGTTTATTGTTAAAAATTAAAGTTAGCTTCACTAATTAGCTTTGAATTAAAACTAGCATTTCATGTATCCAAAATACTCTTAATTACCTTAATTATGCTTGATTTATAAAGACAATTTTTAAGGTACAGCATGTTTGGAAATGATGTAGAATAAACATATTACTGTATTAAGCAATATTTACCATGATTTTTCTTCATGTGTTGTAGATTAAATTTAAATTCCCTCCATCTTGAACATGTGCTCTGATGTCACTATTCATTTTCTTAGAAAACACATAAACAATCTTTCACACAAACTTTTTAAAGTGACATTACTGTGTTGTGGTGGAAATGACACTGATACTGTGCGACAGCTATTTTGTATAAAAAATTATTATTGATGATAGTCTCACAATAATAACTATAAAATATTTAACTTATTTCACTAATGCTTAATTAAGATACATTAAGATACATTAATAGTTAACACATTAATAGTTACCACATAAATAATTTTTAAAAATGTTTTGTACATTGTTAAAGTTTAAAAGTGTGCGACAAGGCGAAAACTGCTTTTGACACCTAAAAGGAGTTTGATAAAGAAAGATGAATTTGAACAAAATATATATTAAATAATATATACCATGTATTATATGCTATATAAATAATAAATAATGTATAATAATAAATTAAATAATTACCCATAAGTAGGCCAAATCAAGCCTCAATGAACAATAAATACATTGAAGATCATCTGCTGGAATGGAATAAGTATTGCTGCCTTTAGTTTTATTTTACATTTAGTTTGATAAATATATTTTGTAACAACTACACATTTTCAACTTTCATATGTTTAATCTGTGTATCACAAAAGTACACAATAGGCAAAAAGACAGATCAGTTATTGGTTTTGTTGTAAACAAAAAAAAAGTTCAGTAATAGTACTGTAATTTGTGACTGAGGCTTGTTATAACAGACTAAAATAAGCAAGTTTCAATTAACAATGGGTTAGCTATAGAAATTGTTTGTGTGCATTGTACTTTGGGAAAAAATGCCCTTATTTTAGTCCAAACCATGTCATGCTTCCAAATGTTTTTCCTTAGAAGGCATGACATTGCCCTCTGTTGGTGAAAACACTGAACTGTTACATGAAGCTTTTCAACTTTAAGTAGCTTTAAATGGAGTTTATGAATATTTTGTAAATAAATATCATGCAATTTAATCTTTAAGTAAGAATATGCACGAATGAAAACTTTTATAATGCACAAGAAAATTATTTTACACCCCAATTATGTAAAATCATATATTAAATACATACTTAAAAATATATTAATAATAAAAATATAAATCAGCTCGGGCTGCATGGTGGTGCAGCGAGTAGCACGTTCACCTCACAGCAAAAAGGTCGCTGGTTCAAAGTCCAAAGACATGTGGTATGGGTGAATTTAGTAGGCTAAATTGTCCGAAGTGTATGTGTAAATGAGTGTGTGTGGATGTTTCCCAGCAATGGATTTCAGATGGAGGGGCATCTGCTGAGTAAAACACATGCTGGATAAGTTGGCGATTCATTCCGCTGTGGCAACCCCAAATTAATAAAGGGACTAAGCCGAAAAGAAAATGAATGAATAAATCCGTTCCTTATCAAACAGCCCAGGCATCATAATTCATGCATTTGTTTTCCTTTAGCTTAGTCCCTTATTTGTCAAGGGTCGCTACAGCGAAATGAACCCCCAACTATTCCAGCATGTTTTACACTTCCGCAGTAAATAAATAAACTTTGTAAAAACGTCTTAATAAACATTGCATTTATTAGCATAATAAATAAGTCGATCTTTTACAAATATAAAACAAGATTGATTACATTTTTGTGGAAGTACACTGCAATATCACAACAGCCGGTGATATTTAATGGACATGAAAAAATATATATACATATATACAAATATACATCAATATTATTTCCAAAGCAACTTACATGCTGCATTAAATCACTGAATACAAGTTATTTCAAATAGATTACTTGTTTTTTGATGTTGTGAACACTCGTTCATTTTCATAATCTATACTGATTGTTAATTCAAGTCAAGGTGCAATCTGGATTCATTCAAACTTATTGTTGATTCGTTGCTCGCTACAGAAATAGCAAACTAAAGAAAGTCTGTGCATTTTGTTTTTCTAGTCTTCACGAAGGTAGGCCTCTGGAACGTCTTCCAGATCATGAATGTCAATGCTGGAGGCGTACTCGGCCATTCTCTGGATTTCTTCAGCTTTTGTTTCCGCCAGTTTTTTCTCCGCTTCTTTTGAGATCTTCCTAATCTCTTCCACTTTAGATTGAGCCACTTGCAGATTAGTCTTTGTTGCTGTGCATGCATGCTCGGCTCCTGTACAAAAATATTAGCACTGAATCAATTAATAGACCATATCACATTCATATGTACATTTTATTTATTTATTTAGGGAATTATTCACCCATTATCCACCCCACATCATTTAATAATCCTAAAGTGGTTACAAACTTATGAATTTATTTGATCACAAAACAAGACATTTCAATAAATTCTGAAAAAAAGTAGCCATTGACATCAATAGTAGGAACATTCATTAATTTTCTTGTTTAATCTGGGGTCGCCACAGCGGAATGAACCGCAAACTTATCCAGCCAGTTTTTACGCAGCGGATGCCCTTCCAGCATTCACACACACACTCATACACTACGGAGAATTTAGCCTACCCAATTCACCTGTACCAAATGTCTTTGGACTGTGGGGGAAACCGGAGCACCCGGAAGAAACCCACGCAAAGGCAGGGAGAACATGCAAACTCCACACAGAAACGCCGACTGAGCTAAGGTTCGAACCAGCAACCCAGCAACCTTCTTGCTGTGAGGCGACAGCACTACCTACTGCGCCACTGCCTCCCCCAGAGTAGGAACAAAAAATACTAATACAAAGTCAATGGTTGTTTGTTTTTCCAGCATTCATCAATATATCTTCATTTGCGTTTAATATAAGAAGCTGAAACTAGTTTAGAATAAATGGAGGACGAATAAATCATTTTATTTTTGGGTGAACTATTCCTTTAAAAGTAATAGGTTTATTAATTAAATAATTAATAATTTAATAAATAATTTATTATTATTAATTCATTAACATACCTGAATTGTAGGCTGCTTCTGCTGACAACTCGCAAATGTTGATGGCGTTCATCCAGTTTGACTCGAAGCGTTTACATTCTTCTAATTGATCACTAACCTGGAAAGAGAAAGACGAACAATGTCAATGCTGTGAGAGTGAGCTTAGATAACAAGTACGAAATCAACAAGGTCTGTTAATCAGTCCAGCTAATCAAGATCAATCTGATTGCATTAGTTCAACAGCACTTAGCAGACCTTGTTGGACAAAAAGTAAATAAACAGAGCACTTACCTCCACCCGCTGGCCAATGATGACCTGCCAAATGCTGTCCTCTTCAACAGGGCTCAGTTTCCCTATTGAGGCGATGTATCGCTTCTGAAGGCTGATGAGTGTATGTAGTGCCTATGGGGGAAAAGCGGTTAGTAAAGCCAGTTAATTTGATAATTCACTCATTAATCATCATGATCAATTAATAATGTTTATAAGTGTTACCTTGGCGTACTGTGTGAGGGCGTCCACCAGGGCTAGAGTGGTCTGAGAGAGGTACGTGTTGGCGCTGTCAGTGACCAGACATGATGCTCGACGAATCAGAGATTCATGCGAGAGATTTTCAACCTGCTGGAGAAAGGAAAAAAAGAAAAAGAAAAGATTTATTATAAACGTCAAAATAGTGTAATCATAGTGAATCATAAACATACAGCAAAGCCAGTGTAGTGTGGTGTGGTTTGCTGATTGAATGACTTGAGCCAATTCCTTCAATAAGTGTTAATAAAATTAAATAATGTTAATAAGCAACACTTTGTTTGGACTTAGTCTGATTCAGTTGATGTTGTTTGTTGTGGATTTATTTTTTAAGATTAAAAGATACAAATCAGCAACAAAAAAGGTTATCCTTTATGGTGTTTAATTTGCAAATTTGAAAAAAAATATTATAATAAAAATGATATGGGCTGGGCTAAAATAATACAGTATTTACATCATATTCCATTAAAAATGCATGCATCATGCATTAAAGGTTAAAAAGTGGATTTTGTAGCAAAATTGTAAATATATACGTATAAAACATAGGAACCCTTACCCTTATAAAAATTAACAGTTATATATATATATATATATATATATATATATATATATATATATATATATATATATACTAACAACACTAAATAATGTGTATCTGAGGAGTGAAATGTGATGTATAACCATTTTTACAACGAAAACAAATGATAAACTTAGCATAGCAAAACTTCCTCAGGGAAACTATTTAAAACGTCCTATAGATTTATTTTCCTGGAAAAATTAAGAATTTACTTAAGCAACGTGACAGGTCCACTGAGATTGAAAACTGAAGTATACTAAAAGAATCGAATCAAATGCGAACCGAGTCAGAATCAGAATCATCTTCATTCAGATGAACAAACGTGTAACGTTATTATCGTTGCTGTCGCGCTCTCGAGTGTCCGTTCCTGCGGTTTGCAAACTGTCCACAACTTATAACATATATTTTAAAAACGCTTTATGAAATTAAGGTTGTTAACTACCTGTGTAAAAGGCATCGCGCAGAGCCCAGTGCCGACACTGAACGGGACTGCATTGGATCGAGCAACGTTTGGCAGGCGCTGCAGAAGTCGCTGATGAACAGAGCTGTTGCACAGCACGCTGGTCTTATCCCTTTAATATAAGAAACACACATTAGACACTGCATATATTTACATATAAAACAACTTCTCAACATCCATATCTAATTTCCAGTCTTACTTGAGAAGCTGAACGCATGCGGCGCTCATCCGCAGCACAGCCATATTTCTCCGGGCGAGCAGGAAGTCGGTCCGGCCTTTAAGAAAACTCCCACTAGCACACAAACCGCAGTTTTTAACAGCCTGCATATTGTTTAATAGCTTAATCCAAACTATAAAGAAATATTATATGTATTCCTTAAGCCTGTTTTTTTTCTGAGTGAAGCTTTTGAATGTTTAAAACTGACAGCACTACCCACCAGTATTTATACTTTGCTAATGGGACTCTGCCCCTTCATGCAGGCTATATTGATCCGTTTATTCGGACCCCTAATCTTGATTTTACTGGTTTAAGTTCAAGGAAAGATAGGGTTTGACGCAAGTGTACACACTACGTCAGCACAAAGGGCTGTGGTAAACATTATTTAGCTGTAAGCACATGGTGACCCTCTGCTCTGTCATAACACAGTGTGCGTGTATTGAGAACACACCAGACACCCAGTCAAATACGTGAGCATGCACGTCTCAGAGGTGTGTCAGAAAAACAAGCCCACTTGATAAGAAATCTTTAGTCGACAAAAATAACTGTCAAGACAACATGGGGAGCAGTAGCATGGGGAGCAGTGTTTACTGTGTTTACAGTGCTTTTGGAGCCTTGATAGCCCAATTCAATCGACCTCAACCAATAACTTATCTTTAAGCTTTGAAAAGGCACAGTGAATTGGTTTGAGCAGTTTCTCAACTGTTGTGTATCAGCTTGTTGGGAGACAATTGGACTATTTGTAAAGTTAATTCTTGTTGTCATGCCTAAATTGCAATGCAGAAAAGGAGTCACTTATGGGTGTTATAATTGGGAAAAAAAAAAAAAAAAAAATATATATATATATATATATATATATATATATATATATATATATATATATATATATATATATATATATATATGCATATTTTAAGTTTATAAATATGTTTAGTAGGCCTACTACAAACAAAAACATTTGCTATCTTATCTTATACAGTAATTTATTCACACTTTACAATAAGTTTTCATTAGTTAATGTATTTACAAACATAAGAATGAATATTACTTGTATGGTATTTATTGATAATACTTTAACATTTACTAATGCATTATTAAAATAAAAATTCATGCTTGTCAACAGTTGCACAATGACTTAGCGTGGACTAACTATGCATAACTATTTCCGTTAAGTAACATTAACAAAGATGATGCCGTTTAAAGATGAAAGAATACTGTAATAAATGTATTGTTATTAGTAAATACTGTACATGAACTAACAAACCTATTACAACCTTATTATAAAGTGTTACTCATAATTCTCAATATAGGAATCCCCAAAGCATGTAGGACGGTCTCTTTTTTTTAACCTATCATAGTCATAATTATAATAATAATTACAATTTATTATTACTTTTTGAATAATTTATTGTTAATTCTTAACTGTGCATAAATCTGTTGGCCAATATTATTGCTATTTATTTTAAAAACAGTTGCAGAAAACTGAACATTTGTGGTAAATGTTTAATGGTGGAGAAAAACGTGTTACATAAAGCACTTTTAAACACTTGTGAAAAGAAAAAAGTAGACAACAATAGTGATGAATCCCCTCAAGTGCTTATCTTAGGCAGCAGTATAAGAATGTACATGTAAACAAAGGGTTTATAGAGCTCAGGGTCCAAGTCACAGGAATACAGAGAAATCATGCACAGTAAAGGCTGTTTTGAAGTCATGATTGCATCATGCCTGAGTGGAATGCAAAGGCCACACAGCAGACATTATGGCATTTGATTGACGACATTTCTTTAATATTATTTAAATAATTGCTCTTGTTCAATGATTAGACTGTTTGACTGTAACTACATACTACATGTTTAGGGTGCATTAATAGATTTGTAATGTTTAAACTGATGATTTTATGTTGTGCAAACATTTATGTGTTAAACTTTAAGGTGATTTTTGCAGAGCAGTACTGCATAAATGAACTCGATTTGACAATGCAATGTGTAATCTTTAATAATCTTTCATGTCATGCGATTCTTATCATCAATAAATCTTTTTTACACATCTTTTAAGTCAATATAATGTAAAGGAAAAGTCTTTCTTCCACAAATAATGCTCAATCCGACCAAGAGAGGTCGCTACTAAACAATACACTGAATGCGAGAGGCACCTTCCAAAGCACTTAGTGTCCATACCTTGTCAGATTGTTCTACCTTCCATTCTAAAAGTAGGATGCACATTTTAATAATGCAATATGCTACCCATCAGATTTTGCTACCGGTGTAAAATTTAATGTGGAGTAGTTTGATATGAAGCTGTAGGAATATCACCCTAACCTACCTAATCCCTAACCACAAGTCTCCAACCCCAGAACCATTCAAATACAGTGTCAAATACAGTGGTAGCATAACCTGATGCGTAAATGTCAGGACACCGGACAAATACAAACTCTGGATATGATAGAGTGTTATGGATAATCATAATGGAGCACTTATCAATTACTTTTAAGTATAACAAAACAAGAAAAACATCCACACTGCAAAAACCATATAAATATAAATGCTATTCTGTATTGTGTGATTCATGTTTTTCCCTCCATTTATTTAAAATTACATTGATTTGGACCTTCTTTCAACAACTTTTAAGTTAACTTAATTTGAAAAAAAATTATAATATTATATATATAATATTTCAATGTCTGTACATTTTTTGTTTCTTTTCAGACTTATTTCTCTCTGTATTATTTCTTATACACTGAAAAAATCCTAGTTGCTTTAATTTTTTAAGTTGAATCATTGAGTCCATTGAACTTCTACTATGTGAAACTGACTTAAAACTGCTTGCATAACTTATAAAATTAAGTTAGAACATTATTAACTTAGTTTAATAAGTAATGACCTAAAAACATATGCTGTCAGGACTAATTGATCAAATACAGGGTACATAATAGTATTTCAAAGTACAAATGTCAATAAAAGTAACTTTGCTGAATTGACAAATTTTCAACACCAAAAGTCAACAGAGCAGAGATCAAGCTCCCATAATGCAGTTCACAACCATAAATAAACAGAAAACACTTGTTATCCACAAAATACTCAAACCTGCTAATTTACATGTTAGTGCGCATCGAATATTAAACAAAAATCTCATATGAATGTAAAGATGTTACACATTTTTCTTTTACTTATTTTTGAGTTATTCATGTAATTGAGAGATTGTGTTGTTTTTGCATCTGATAAAGTAAACCATCGCTGTATAAAATTTCTCATCTCTAAATCCATACACAAGAGGACTGACCGCTCTAGAAGTGATGCTGAATGCCAGGAAGTTTATAAATCGTACAGTCAGATATGACTGAATATCATACTGCATGACCACAGACTCAATGTAAGGGCACATCACCTCTGCAGTGCATAAAAACAGCTGAAGTATGTGCAGGGAAATAGTGCGCTGCCCTTTCGATGCAGATTTCTTATTGTCACCAGATGCAGCACGAGCAGCGAGATAAATCATTACATAGCAAAATATCTCAATTATTAAAATAACCACGAGCCCCACAATGTACAACAACCCCCTGGCAAACACGCGGATCTTTTCAGGGATCATAATCTCATAGTGGCAGTGTGTGAGCTGAGTCAAGTATTCATGAGAGGCTGTGCTGACGAGAATGAACATGTCAATAAACGGGTTTATGGAGCTCACGATCCAGATCATTAAAATCACCATGAAGGCTCTTCTGGAGGTGGAGATGGCATGGTGTCTAAGAGGCAGGCAAATGGCCACATAACGCTCCACACACATGGCTATGATGGTCAGTGGAGCACATGCTGTGACAGCCTCCATTAGCATGCAGATGGGGATACAGAAATGCAGAGGTAATAAAACAAGGTTGTATGACAAAAGCACCACAAGGTCTGTCAGGCAAATAAATATCAGGTCGACCAACAAAGAGTGTCCGAACAGTATATAGCGAGTCTCAGTTGTGAAAGTCTCCTTTTTGGAGAATATGAGGAGCATGAGGAAGATGAGATAGATGAAGGGCCACACAATGACCTGCGTCAACGCCAGTGAGATGTTCCTCCGCACGGGGTCCACCTGAATCAGCTGCATCTGCTCATCGCCACTGCTGTTATGAGTGGACATTCTGCACACATCTGACAGAAAAGAAACAGGAAAAAACTAATAAGTGGCATAATTGACATTCCTCAGCAGGCTAATTACAATATGCAATCAACATAGCCTACTGTGGCTATCCAAGTTCTGTATTCCAAAATCTATTGTCAATAAATAGACTATTACATAAATAAACCACAAATAATAAAGTAGGCTATACAGGTTAGATAATTAAAGCTTACATATGTTTTTAAGAAAATATCACATACAACCTTCCCTACAAAGCCACTACTTACTGACAGTAAGACTCTACTTTGACCATCGAGTATATTAACTGATGAAGCGCACTGAACATAGAGTTTATATAGAGTTTGACAGTACACTCCTGTGGACGAGGTCTGCATAGCTGATGACTTCTAGAGCCAAATTTAGATGCGCTTGTGTTTAGGGGATAGACGTGGTGCATTAAGACACAATCATGTTTTTTTTTTTTTTATATATTTGATATCTGGTATAAGTCAATACTTAGATTGTAGTTTATGTGCTAGAATAAAAAAATATTAAAATGGGACAATCAACTAGAATGGCAGTAGGCAAGATTTTGTTTCTTAGTTTTTTTGTGTGTCATTTAGCTACACTATCTTTCATATTCTGCCTTTCATTCTCTACCATGCATGTGACATTCCACATGCAGGATCTACTGTGTGTATAACTTTGTATAAGTATCTGTCAAATGTGACCCTGGACCACAAAATAAGTCTTGTTACATGGGTGTATTTTTGGCAATATCCATTAATTAAATGTTTAAAAATTTTATATATTTTTTTCTTTTATGCCAAAATTCATTAGACTATTAAGTAAAGATCACAATAAATTAATATTTTTGGCAAACTTTTTCTGTAGAACCTTTACTGTAGTATACATTTCTAAGAACAAAATTTTGACAACTTTATTGGAAATTGTCTCAGTATTTAGATTTTTTTTTTAACCCTCTGTCACGATTACACATAAAAGACGTGGAACCCAAATGCAAGTAAACCAGTCTTTAATGAAGATATAACAAAAACAGGAAAATAGGTAAATGGCTGGGAGTGCAGATAATCCGTGCAGTCAATGATAAGAAGGGAGATGGATCAGCAGCACCGATTAAATGTCCATGACAGACATCAACAGAGCAGATCAAACATCTTCTTAGATGTAAACAGGAAGCATCGAGTAGCTGCACAAGGAAAACAACCAGCCCACTCATCACCAGCAAAAACCAACGAGGGGAGCCTGACAGGAACACAGAAGACCGTGAACAAACAACAAACTGACAATGTGAGACAGGAACGCTGAACATTTATTAGAGCAGAAATGCGCTGCACCTGGAGCGCTGATTATCTGCTGAGCAGTGCTAGGCAACGTTGAGGTGACGAGGATCATGTGACCGCTCAGCTGATGACACAAAACAATAACACTGACAGGCACGCGACTCCCACACAAACACAGAGACAAAAGCACACACGCTAGCACTGCAACATACGATCGCTACATAACAAGAACTGTCACACAACGCAGACACATCAAAAAGAGCAGATATATCTACAACCGTGACATTACCCTCTCCCCAGATGAGCTTACCTGGCGATTGTAATCATCGATAAGATAATGATCCAGTATGTCCCCGGACGGGACCCAACTTCTCTTTTCCGGACCGTAACCTTCCCAGTCCACCAAGTACTGAAATCCTCGTCCCCTCCGTCTAGAGTCCAGAATGCGCTTAACCGAATAGGCAGTTTCCCCATCTACGAGGCACGGCGGGGGGGAACTGTTCCAAGTGTGACAGCACCTCTGGACAAAGGCATGAACGGAGGGAACCGCGACTTCGGATTCCAGACTGGGAAAAACTGGTGGCTGGTAACCTAGACTACACTGAAATGGAGAAAGGCCCGTAGCCGACACTGGTAATGAATTATGTGCTTACTCCACCCACGAAAATTGCTGACTCCAAGAGGAAGGATTCTGCGAGACCAAACATCACAATGTGCGCTCAAGATCCTGATTGGCTCTCTCGGTCTGGCCGTTACTCTGGGGATGAAAACCAGAAGAAAGACTAACAGTGGCCCCCAATAAACGGCAGAATTCTCTCCAAAATTTAGAAACAAACTGAGGCCCCGTGTCAGAAACCACATCCGTCGGGAAGCCATAAATGCGAAAGACATGATCAATGACAGCAACCGCTGTCTCTCTGGCTGATGGTAATTTGGACAGAGAGATAAAATGAGCAGCCTTCGAGAACCTGTCCACTACGGTCAAAACTACCATGTTACCGTTAGAGGATGGAAGACCAGTAACAAAATCTAGCGAGATGTGTGACCAGGGTCTCGAAGGCACTGACAGCGGTTGAAGGAGCCCGGCAGGTGGGCGATTGGAAGACTTGGAAACCGCACAGACAGAGCAAGCCAATACAAAATCGCGCACATCACGAGCCATAGCTGGCCACCAGAATCGTTGTTTGATAACGAATAATGTGCGACTCACCCCTGGATGACAAGCTACCTTGGAGGAATGACCCCACCGGACAACGTCGGACCGTAATTCCTCCGGCACGAATAACCGACTCGGTGGGCATCCGATTGGAGCGTTACCCCATCCAGGGCTGTGCGAACCCTCGACTCGATCTCCCTAAAAATGTTCGCTACTACAATCCTCTGGGGAAGCACAGGATCAGGTGATGACGTGCGATCCGACGGGTCGAAAAGACGTGATAATGCGTCAGGTTTGATGTTTTTGGAGTCTGGTCTGTAAGAGGTCGTAAAATTAAACAGTCTGAAAAATAATGCCCACCGAGCCTGCCTGGAGTTTAATCTTTTAGCGGAGTTAATATACTCAAGATTCTTATGATCGTTCCAGACGATAAAAAGCACCCCCGAGCCCTCTAACCAGTGACGCCACTCCTCCAATGCAAGCTTGACGGCCAATAACTCTCGATTACCAATGTCGTAATTTCTTTCTGCAGAGGATAATCGATGAGAAAAATACGGGCAAGAATTGATCTTGCCACCCGAGGCGGAACACTGGGACAGGATGGCTCCGACCCCAACCTCCGATGCATCGACCTCCACCACAAACTGCAGGGAAGGATCAGGGGCAATAAGGATCGGGGCTGAAACAAAGCAACCTTTCAGTTTGGAAAAGGCAGCTTCTGCTGCGCTAGACCACTTGAACGGCGTCTTGGAGGAGGTCAAGGAAGTCAGAGGCGCGGCGACCTGGCTGAAATTGCAAATTAAACGGTGGTAAAAATTGGCAAAGCCCAAAAATCTTTGCAAGGCCTTACGAGAATCTGGGGTTGGCCAATTTACCACAGCCTGAATCTTCTCTGCATCCATGCACATCCCCTCAACTGACATGATATATCCCAGGAACTGAACCGACTGTGCATGAAAAATGCATTTCTCCGCTTTGACATAAAGCCCATTCTCTAACAGCCTCTGCACCACTCGTCTGACGTGTTGAATGTGTTCCTGGAGAGAGTGAGAAAAAATCAGGATGTCATCCAGGTAGACATAGATAAAGTGATCTATCATATCTCTCAACATGTCATTGACGAGTGCCTGGAAAACAGCCGGAGCGTTGGAAAGGCCGAAGGGCAGAACGCAGTACTCAAAATGCCCTCTAGGGGTGTTAAAAGCTGTTTTCCAATCATCCCCCAGTCTTATGCGAACCAAATGATAAGAATTGCGGAGATCTAATTTTGTGAAGAAGTTCGCCCCCTGCAGACGCTCGAAGGCTGAAGACATCAACGGCAAAGGGTAAGTGTTCTTAACCTTGATGCTGTTCAGCCCTCGATAGTCAATGCACGGACGAAGGGAACCATCCTTCTTTTTCACAAAAAAAATCCCGCCCCCGCCGGTGAAGAAGACGGGCGGATCATCTTGGTTGCTAGAGAATCAGAAATATATTTCTCCATGGCCTTCCTCTCTGAAACAGACAGCGAATATAACTTGCCCTTAGGTGGAGACGTACCTGGCAATAAATCTATAGCACAGTCATAGGGACGATGAGGAGGTAGAGAAGCAGCCCGGTACTTACTGAACACTCTCTTCAGGTCATGGTACTCACGGGGCACATTTGACAGATCCACCTGCTCCTCCTGAAACACAGAACAAGGAACAGTGGAACAAGCAGACAATAAACAAGACTTATGACAACTCTCACTCCAAGAAAGAACTGCGTTGTGACCCCAATTAATGTGGGACTTGTTTAACTCTAACCACGGATGTCCCAGAATGACAGGATTATTAACAGTGCTGGTGAGAAAGAAAGAAATAGTTTCAGTATGATTACCAGAAGTGTTGAGTCTAATGGGAGCTGTGATGTGCGTGACAGGTTAGAGGGAAACTCCGCTAAGTGCATGCACAGCGATGGGTGAAGAGGGAAAAATAAAAGGAATCTTAAGTTCATTAACTAGTTTAGAGTCAATAAAATTCCCTTCAGCTCCTGAATCAATGATTGCGTGGCAGACATGAAAGTTAGAATTAACACACAACTTAAGGATGTGTTAATGGAGAAGTCATTCTCACCCATAATCTCACCCACCAATAAACTTTTATCAGTGGATGACTTACTGCTCTTGACCGGACATACGGCCGCAAAATTACCTGCAACACCACAGTACATACATAACCCCCCTGTACGCCGGCGACGTCTCTCCTCTGATGAGAGGCGAAATCCTCCCACTTGTATAGGCTCAGGATCCGGAGCAGGGGGCGTTACCTCTGGGAAACAGGTCCGTGAGAGAAGGCGTTGAGAGCGACGCTCCTCATGAACGCTTCTGCGCTGCAGTCGACTGTCCCATCTAATGGCCACACTGATGAGATCCTCCAGTGTTTTGGGAAGCTCCAAGGCGTAAATCTCATCCTTGATGTGGTCCGCTAGTCCGTGAAGAAACATGTCCCGTTGTGCCTCGCTGTTCCAACCGCACTCGATCGCCAGGGTGTGGAAATCAATAGAGTACTCAGCCACAGTATGATTCTCCTGACGGAGCTCCGTGAGCCTTCTGGAAGCTTCCCTCCCCGACGCCGCTAGATTAAAGACCACCCTGAGTTTCTCTGAAAAGGCTTTAAAAGTCTCACAACAGATAAGTTTCCTCTCCCAGACCGAGGTCCCCCATAATGCCGCCTTGCCAGACAGTAAATTAATTAAAAATGCCACCTTGCTCTCCTCGGTGGGGAAAGATGAGGGTTAGAGCGATATATAAAGAGAGCATTTGGCTAAAAAGGCTTTACATAAATGGGGTTCACCTGCATAACATTGTGGTGCAGGAAGTCGTGGTTCA